TAAATACAATGACAACCCAGTCGTAATAAAAAATGATAAATACATAAACTTATATTGAACAGAGAGACAGTCGACTTCCTAACTTATCAGACGTGTCTGTTAAGCACACTTAATAGCAGACCAGTCGTAATAAAAAATGATAAATACATAAACTTATATTGAACTAGGCACAAAGTTTAATTTAACTCGTTGGTTGTGGTTTTGGTTTTCAGAACCCTAAGCATTTATCGTGTTTAAACAATTACAAATACTTAAAAATTTATTGTGTTTCGTGCATATTTAATACTAATCTTTCCTGAAAACGCTGTTCAGAATGATCAGCAACAATAAAGTGCACTTAAATAAAAACAAAAACGGATGCTCGTGTAAAACAAGAAGGGAGAGAATGGGAAAAAAAGAATCGATACCTTACAAATGTGTCGTGTTTCAATATTACACATTGCACTACTTACAAATGTGTCGTGTTTCAACAATACACATTCTACCACTTACAAATGTGTCGTATTTCAACAATACACATTCTACCACTTACAAATGTGTCGTGTTTCAACAATACACATTTTACCACTTACAAATGTGTCGTGTTTCAATATTACACATTGCACTACTTACAAATGTGTCGTGTTTCAACAATACACATTCTACCACTTACAAATGTGTCGTATTTCAACAATACACATTCTACCACTTACAAATGTGTCGTGTTTCAACAATACACATTTTACCATTGATGCATAGATGTATAAAATTTGACCTCGACCTTTCGTTTGCTTTTGTCGATGCATAGATGTGTTATATTTGACCTCGACTTTTCGTTTGCTTTTGTCGATACTTGAACTTTATAATCAAGTTAAAAATTGCTTACAAGTAACCAATAGCTTTAGCGATATTTTATTCACCTTATTTCATTGGTAATTTCACTGATAATGACACTGGCTCCACCCATTAGCTGTTGGTTAGTAAGAAGTATATAGGTAGTGGAGGGTTTTTGTGTTTAAGAGTGATTGGTTACATTTTATTCTATCGCGAACCGGAAATGAAAAAAAAAAAAAACACTCGGTGAGTGGGTGCATAACTAATGATTGCAGAATTTAATTAGACTTACGTAAGTAATCTTCTGAGAACTTTTAAGTTGAGAAGTGTTTAAGAAAAGTTAGAAGAAAAAAAAAAGACAACGCTTTCTCTATAAGCAAATTTGATTACTTTGAAATTTTTTTATTAATTGTCTGATCAGTGGGTGTGTACTATACGCAGGAACACAGCTAGTGAACAACGCCAACTGCGCATGCGTCTTTTGTACCACAGCCGTTGAAAATATTTAAATAATGCCAGGCTCGTGTCATCGCACCTAAAATTACCTCTTTATTACATTTTATAGTCAACCTAGCGGGATATTTTTTCTCTCCTCGGGGTGTCTGTTAGGGATAATATAGTTAAAAGTTATTACACAAGGAGGCAGCTGTTAGGGATAATATAGTTAAAAGTTATTACACAAGGAGGCAGCTGTTAGGGATAATATGGTTAGAATTTATTATACAAGTATTCCTAAATGTTTTTAACTCAACGCCAGAAGTTTTTAGGGTTACCAATTTCTGTGAAATGATAAGCTTTTTTTTTTTCTAAAATACTCGGAGATTATTCGAAATTCGCAGCCTTTAAAATTACCGAAATTAAAACAAACGTTTTACACACACAAAAAAGTCACTCAGTGGATTATATTTCAGAATTCTTGCGCAAAGCTACGCAAAGGGTTATCGTCCTTACTTTTCAGAAAGAAGGTAGTTAGTCAGTAGCATCGATCGCCATCTCTGGGGCAACTTTTGTCTCACCGAATACAAACCAACTGACACGACTCGGGATCCAATCCTCTTGGAGCTGTACAAACCGACTGACAGGACTCGGGGTCCAATCCTCTTGGAGCTGTACAAACCGACTGACAGGACTCGGGGTCCAATCCTCTTGGAGCTGTACAAACCGACTGACAGGACTCGGGATCCAATCCTCTTGGAGCTGTACAAACCGACTGACAGGACTCGGGTTCCAATCCTCTTGGAGCTGTACAAACCGACTGAGGACTTGGGGTCCAATCCTCTTGGAGCTGTACAAACCGACTGACACGACTCGGGATCCAATCCTGTTGGAGTAGTACAAACCGACTGACACGACTCGGGGTCCCATCCTCTTGGAGCTGTACAAACCGACTGACAGGACTCGGGTTCCAATCCTCTTGGAGCTGTACAAACCGACTGACAGGACTCGGGGTCCAATCCTCTTGGAGCTGTACGAACCGACTGACACGACTCGGGATCCAATCCTCTTGGAGCTGTACAAACCGACTGACACGACTCGGGAGCCAATCCTTTTGGACCTATACAAACCGACTGACACGACTCGGTACAGGATTTTGTTGTACAAGACTATATATTCGTGTTGTGACTCGTGTGTTATAAATATAACAGGTATTGTTAGTTTAGTAAGTTATAACTTTTTGCAACTATCAATTTATTATCACGGTTCAATATTTGATATTTTATATAGCCATCAAACTTATAAACTCGCTGTATATTCAAATCATCTTTGTTTGTTCGAGAATTTTCGCGCAAATCCACACGAGAACTATCCGCGCATATATATTCATCCCTAATTTTGAACTGGTAGACTATAGGGAAAGCAGCTAGTCAACAGCACCCACCGCCAACTCTTGGGCTACACTTGTCTGACCGAATAGTGATATTACCTTCGCTCTTACGAAGTATTCACGGTTTCAAAAAGCTAATCGAGTTTCTGAGACAAAGGGGCGCGAAGTATGAGCCCCCGTAAATTATAGTCCGGAAACGTTACCCTCGGTCCTTCAACAGACGTAAATTCTCAGCTTACACAAACATATTGTAGAGAAACAATATTTACTGGACGGTAGTTGAAGGTGAGTAAAGATCAATATCTGATTAGTGTGAAATAATTAATAATATTTACTGGACGGCAGATGAAGGTAAGTTAAGATCAAAATCTGATTAGTGTGAAATAATTAATAATTAACAATATTTAGTGGACGCTAGCTGAAGGTAAGTAAAAATCAAAATCTGATTAGTGTGAAATAATTAACAATATTTACTGGACGGTAGATGAAGGTAAGTAAAGATCAAACTCTGATTAGTGTGAAATAATTAATAATTAACAATATTTACTGAACGGTAGATGAAGGTAAGTAAAGATCAAAATCTGATTAGTGTGAAATAATTAATCTAATTAGCCAATAATATTATCATCAAAAGTATTATTATTATGATACAAAACATGCAAAGTGTAGAGAGATAAAAACAACAACTTGTAATAAAGCCATTCTACAAAATAAACATCATGAGACAGAATAAGATATTGATCCGGTGGTTGTCATTAAACTATTGGAAGACGAGTTTCTGTTTATAACTTTCTTGCTTTAAAGTAAACTAACATTTTTTTTACAATAAAGTAAAAATATTACTGCTTAACACATCGGTATTAGAAACACAAATGTTGCGATTCTTTCTGGACTCAGTGCGGTCCAGCGGTTAACATGCTGAACTGTGGATCCGACGTTCAATGGTTTGCGTCCCGTTAGTGCCAAAAAACAAACAAACAAACAAAAACGTTCAGTGTTATACAAGTGACGCTTAAATCCCACTACTCACTCAAATACGATTAGTTGTTGGTGATGGTGTTGACCAGCTGCTTTTCCCTCTATATAGGCTATCACTTCAAAATTAGTAAATAGTTTGGTTTGTTATGGATTTTGCGCAAAGCTACACGAGGGCTACCTGTGCTAGCCGTCCCTAATTTAGCAGTGTAAAACTAGAGGGAAGGCAGCTAGTCATCACCACCACCGCCAACTGTTGGGCTACTCCTTTACCAACGAATAGAGGGATTGACCGTCACATTATAACGCTCCCACGGCTGAAAGGGGCGACCATGTCTGGTTTGACGGGGATTTGAACCCGCGACCCTCAGATTACGAGTCGACCGCCCTAACCACCTGGCCATGCCGGGCCAGTTAGTAAATGACTAGCGCAGATGGCCCTCACGTAGCTTTGCACACGTAGTTTTAACAATATTATAAAATCATACATTCCGATATGTACTTTGAGCTTGAGTTTACAAAAATGATCCGTTTTTACGGTTTTAATGTCACAGGGGAAAGTCGCTTCACTTGTGAATATGAGGATTGTTCATCCACACCCGCAGTCATTGTAAACTCATTAGAATATCATCCACAATTATGTTAATCTGGAATTCATAGGTACAAGTTGTTACGTCACTTATTCTTCTGTTTAAAAAGCCAGGAGGAAGTTACGGTCAATTAGTGAAATTAAAACTGGATCCTATCGTATCAATTCACCACAGTCAGTGTATTACTAAATAAACGACTTTTTTTTTGTAAAGCGACGCAAGCAAACATTTTGAAATTTACAATCGAAATATAAGGGCGACCCCTGGTGGTAGAGCTGTAAGTTCCCGTAATTACAACGCTAAAATCCGGGGTTCGATTTCCCGCTGTGAACGCAGTGGTACATCGGTAAGTTTACGTACTTACAATGATAAAATCCGGGGTTCGATTCCCTGCTGTGGACACAACAGATAGCCCAATGTGGCGTTTCTCTAAAAATACTAATTGACTAACATATATGGGCCTGATCTAAATTTCGAGTCATCACTACAAACACAAATAACAAATTCCAACCTTGTTGTAATTTATGGACTGGGCCCGGCATGGCCAGGTGGTTAAGACACTCGACTCGCAATCCCCGTCACACAATGGGTCAGTGTTCATTTTGAGGGCTTATAACGCTAATAATCGTTTTTTTTTTTTTTTTTTTTTTTGGATACTTGCGGTGGACACAGCAGAGATAGTCCATTTTGTTAGCTTTGCGCTTAACAACGTATTTGTACATGTTTAAAATTGAATCAGCAAGTATATTAAATTTTCTTTAACCTTTAGTCAGTCCACATATATTTCTTTGTTATAGGTTCCAAGTTTTTATGCAGCCAGGTGATGGCCCCTATCAGAAATGAAGAGGGAATTGTTTCTATGTTTATTATAAATTTTGAGGATCTCACTGACGCCCCCTATCGCGACGAACTAGATGACGTGGTACCTTCGATTATTGACCCTCGAAAACGTAAGTATACAGTTATAGAAGTTTTCTTCTTCTTCCGAGGGGGGTGGGGGGGTATTTTATTTATTTCCTGAACTTTACGTATTCGAATTCTTGAAATATGAAAGAAGATATTACGTACTATCAGCACTATGATTGAATAACGTTAAGTTAGTCATTTTACGACGGATTTTCTTTGTTGTAATGGAGGCGAGACGTAGGTCTTTATATTATTTGGCTCGAGCCAGAATATAGACTATCACAAACCATCAGTTGTATTTTTTGATAGAATAATAAAATAGTTTTTTTTTAATTGGTGAATAACATCTTTGTAGTTGATAGCATACAACGTTTTGTTTTTTTCTAATTGTCATTAAATTAGTCTTTTAAAAAAGTCTAGAAAAAAGTAATTAATTGTATCAAGAGTTGTTGCTTAGTAACATGGGTGACAGAGTTGTTGCTTGGCAACATGGATGACAGTTTTGTCACATTCAAAATATTTACAATGATTATATACAATTACATGATAAGGGTTTTTTTTAATAGGGAGAAGAAGATTAATTCAGCCCCCCAGTGGCACAGCGGTATGTCTGCGGACTTACAACGCTAGAAACCGGGTTTCGATACCCGTGGTGGGCAGAGCACAGATAGCCCTTGTGTAGCTTTGTGCATAATTAAAAACAAAAAAAAACAAGATTAATTCGTCAGTGTGGTATTTTTATCAGTCGTCTGACAAAAATTAAAATAATTATTAATCTGTGTGTCAATACCAACACAGCAAAACGGTCTCTGTTTTGAATAGAATTGTTTAAACATTTGTTTAACAACAAGTAAAGGCTTTGAATGGTCTTATGTTTTCATTGGGGGTGTGTCTGTGGTTGGTTTGGTCTGAAGTTTCATTTGGTGGTAGTGTCCAGGGTCACCGATGAGGAGTGGAATTCTCCGAAACTAGTCTGGCCCACTGACTAGTGAAAGAATAGGCCATTCCAAGCCTTGTTTAAACAACTCTGTTCAATTATGTACAAGCTGCCCAGTGTCGGCTAAAAATACGAAGAATTAGATTGTGGCAAAATGCTACAAGTTCTTCAAATACCTATAGAATGATAGGTTTCTTTTTTTGTGAGTGTAAAACACCTAAATACACCAGTTCGAATCTTTATTTTATTACTTCTCCCTTCCGTAGTGTTCAGCCACGTACCCGTCCTTCGGGAGTTTCTGCAAGGAAGTCCAAACTACAGGGGACAAACGATGGCTTTTCAACGTTGTTTTAGCAGATCTACAGGTTTATCATTTATTTTCTTCCAGTTTTGCCTTTTTTTTTCCAGATCCTGCATCTCTATACGAATTGCTGCATCACCGCCATTTTCAGCGTCAAGCCTAATTTTGCTTTAGTTCTTTGTGTATTCTTTAAATTCAAATTACTTGATTTATTTCTTTTATAAGTTGAACACCTGGGAACCTGACTGATGTATAATTTCTTATGTTTGATTTTCACTCCGACTTCGTAAGTTTTTTTTTTTTTAATTTTTAGAACTCACTTTGCACTGCCGACGACCACACCAATCAGAGCTGCAGCTTTAGTCACGTGATCATTAACCTTATTTAAATACTTTATGCAAAATCCGCCTTTCAACGCCCTAGCTCTGCATCCTCTAGTTATATTGTCAGTCTTGCTTGCTAGCATTTCTCACGCACTGAACAATGGCAGTCTTTAATTAATACGTTTCTCTCCCAGTGGGAAATGATTAGAAATTGTAAGTCTTGTGTCACCTGTACCAAGTTACACGTTAAGGCTTGTCTATTGCTTCACCACTGATAGCTAATGTAACACCTAGTAATAATTAGAAAGTGTGATTAGGTCATTAAATATTCATAATTATTTTTCATTCTCACAGTTTGCAGTAAATTAGCGTTGCTAACTAATAATATTGTATTTTATGACTTTTCATTTGTGACAACAAGACACATTCTACCACTTACAAATGTGTCGTTTTTCAACAGTACACATTCTACCACTTACAAATGTGTCGTGTTTCAACAATACACATTCTACCACTTACAAATGTGTCGTGTTTCAACAATACACATTCTACCACTTACAAATGTGTCGTATTTCAACAATACACATTCTACCACTTACAAATGTATCGTGTTTCAACAATACACATTCTACTACTTGCAAATGTGTCGTGTTTCAACAATACACATTCTACCACTTACAAATGTGTCGTGTTTCAACAATACACATTCTACCACTTACAAATGTGTCGTATTTCAACAATACACATTCTACCACTTACAAATGTATCGTGTTTCAACAATACACATTCTACCACAAAAGCAAACGAAAGGTCGAGGTCAAATGTTATACATCTATGCATCGACAAAAGCAAACGAAAGGTCGAGGTCAAATGTAACACAT